CCCCCCCCCCCCCCCAAAAAGGCGGCCACGTCTCCGACGTCTTCGCACACCATGACAACCTGGTCATCCACCAGGGCGCCGGCTTCGGGGCCCTCTCGCCCGAGCGGCCGGCCACCTCGCGTGGCGGCATGCGCGACCACAATGTCTCCCAGATCTCCATGGCCCCGGTGCAGGACACCGACCCCGCGTCATCGCCCGGGTCCGAGCGCTTTGCCGGACGGTCGTTCTTCGGCGAGGACGCGCCGGAGGCCCCGCGCTCGCCCACCTCGGCCGAGGTGACTGCCGCCCGGCGTTTCGCCAGCCAGGTCGGCTTCGGCCCGGTGGAGGACCCCTCGACCGCGGCTCCCATCGATCCGAATGCCCCGCAGACGGACTTCCAGCGGAATCGCACCCGGCACACCACCTCCAATGTGGGCTTCGCCGGGCCGGAGGACGCGGTCCCCGCATCGCCCGGCGGCCCGGGCGGCTTCGGTGGCGGTCCGCGCGGTTCCAACCTCGGGGTCTGTGACGGGTCCTTCTCCTCTCCCGGGGCCGAGGCCCTGGTGCCGGGGGTGGCCGCCTCGCCGGCGCGCTTCGCCGGAGCCGGCCAGCGCCTGGTTTTCGAGGAGTCCATTGAGGATTACCAGCAGCATCTGGCCGAGCAGCGCGCGGCCGAGGAGCAGTCCAAAGCCGAGCAGCGCTCCCGGGCCGCCGGCTTCGGGGGGTTCATTGCTTTTGATGCGGCGGCCCCGGCGGCCGCCGGGGCCGGAGCCTCCGGCAGCCCGCGCCAGACCGCCAGCACCGGGTCCGCCTTCGGCGGGCAGCTGGACCACATGCCGGCCGGGGCCGGCCCCACCGATGACCCGGCCACCGCCGGGCGCTCCTTCAGCAGCCTCGCGGCCCCGGTGCCGGAGTCCCCGCAGCGCCGCCGGGCCCCGGTATCCTCGGCCCAAACGCACAACCACTCGTCCCTGCTCCTGGCCGATGGTGACCCCGCTTATGAGCATGTCCACCGGCCGGGCCGGCGGTCGGCGGCCGACGTCCTGGCCGAGGAGTCCGCTCCGGTGGCCGAGGACCCGGTCACCCCCGCCCCGGCGGCGGCCACCGCCGCTGCCACCATCACCACCACCACCGCCACCACGGCCCCAGTTGAGCGTGGCTTCGGCACTTCCTTCTGGTGATGCGGGTGTGCATATGCACATGCGCCCATGCACATGCGCACACGCGCATGGAGGTCCACCCCTGCGCTTGCCCGGCTGTCACAACCTATTTATGTGTTCGTGGCCCTCCCTCCTCCGTCCCCCCCCCCCACCTGCAAGTGGAGAGGAAAGGGCGGGCCAGGATACTTGTATGTGCTAGGTGCTGGTGTCCACCAGGAAGGGGAAGGTCCGGTACATGCTGGCAATCACCTGCAGAGCCTGGTTCCGGTGGCAGGCAGCCATGGCATCCATGCCACGCTGGAGCGCATGCACCGAGGCCGTGACAAAGCGCTCGATGTCGTCGCAATCCCGGAGGAAGGTCTGCCGGAGTTGCGCCGCCCGGGGGAGCCCGGCCCGCCGGGCCGCCCGGCGAAGGATCTCCACTTCGATGAGAACCCGCCCATACAGCCGGATGTCCGCCGTGCTGAGCAGGTCGATCGAGTGCAGCGCCTGCCCGGCAAAGCCCGGAGTCGGGGCCAGGACATCCAAGGCCAGGGCACTGCTGCCGCCGGCCAGGGGTCCGCCCGGTGCTCCGACCGGCGGCACCCCGCGCCCATGCTCGCTGATGCTGTCCGAGAACCCGTGCCCCGAGTGGGGATGCCGGTGAAAGGCCCCCGGCGACAGGGGCGACACGTCGTCCGGGCTCCCAGCCTGGGACGGCCCGCCGGCCGGGGCCGCGGCGCCCGACCGATCGGCCGGCGTGGCGGCCGTGCTCGTCAATAGCAATGTGTCGGCCGAGGAGGCGAAGGAATTGATGAGCGTTCGCTCCAGGCCGCGCATGGACTCGCACAGGTGCAGCTGCGCCTCGCGGGCCGAAGTGGACAGGCCGCGCGCCCGGCGCAGGGCATTCCGCAGGCCCCACAGCGTGGCCAGCACCAGGGCCGTGGCCGGGGTCACGGCCACCAGCGCGAAGTTCAGGGTATTGGCGCGGAGCAGCCGGTCGACCGCCGCCAGGGCCGTTTCCAAGTCCACACGGGTCTTTTGCACCTGGATCAGCAGCAGCCGCGGCAGGGGCCCGATGACGGCCGACAGCAGGGGCCGACGGGTTTCGCGCTCGAAGGCCGCATTGACGATGGCCATGTCCTGCAACTCCGGGGCCAATTCCCCGCCGGCCGGATTGAGCCGCGCATCGGACAAGTCGAAGACACCGTCCCGGCCGCCGGCGCCCTCCAGGTCCAGCTGGTTTTCGACCCCGGGCGTCAGGAGCCGCAGCAGCATCGGCGGCTCCCGTTGGCGCTCCGCCTCCGCATAGGCGGTCACCATGCGCTCCAGCAGGGCCCGGTCCAATTCCAAGGACCCTTCATTGATCATGCGCAGTTGCCCGGCCCCGGGGCCGCCCCCCCGGCCGCCGTACTTCACCGTGTCATAGACATCCAGCAGCGGAGCCACCACCCAGTCGGTCAGCAGGCGCCGGGCCAGCAGGACCGCCTCCTGGGCCAGATTGGCCACCGTCGGCTGGAAGGAGGCCAGCCGCCCGAGAATCGGCCCGGCGGCCAGGGTCCCGGCCAGCAGCGGCAGCCAGTACCGAAGTAGCAGCCGCGGCGGCCGGTGCGCCCGCAGGATGTGCATGGTCCGGAAGCTGAACTGCGATGCGGCCATGTTCACCTCGCGCAGGAGCTCCGGCCCGAGGGCGTCGTCACCCGGCGGCCGGGCCGGGGCCAGGGCCGCGAAGTCCGGCCGCTGGCTGGCCGACAGCCGCGACAGTCGGTCATGCTGGTGCTGGTGCTGGTGCTGCTGCTGCAGGGTGGTGCCGGACTCCGGCTGGGGCTCCTCCTCGAAGTCGCTGCCGGCGCCCCCGGTGCCGGGGCCCTCGCCGCGGTCGGCGGCCGCGGCCGCCTGCGCGAAGAAGTCCATCGACCCGGCCGCGGCGAAGGCCGTCTCCGGGTAGTAGGTGTCGTCGGCGAAGATGCGCCGCCAGAACCCCTGGTTCGGGGCATGGGTGCTGGTCTCCGGCAGGGACAGGGCGCAGCACACATCCGTCAACACCAGGGCCGCATAGTCGCGCAATTGGTCCGGCGCCCGGGGAGCCCCAATGTCCCGGGCCACCGCGTCATTCAGCAGGCTGACACTGAGGGCCACCGAGCCGAGGGCATCGTGCACCTGTTGCCGAGCTCGCCGGAGCAGGCGCAAGTGCCCGATGGCCAGCCACTCCGTGTGCCGGCCCAAGCGCCAGCCGAAGGGGAAGAGTTCGACCGCGGCCATGGCCAGCGGGCGCCAGGACTTCGGGGTGCCGGCGGGGTCCGGCACGTGCGGGCCCCGGCTTGGCCAGGCACCGGCCGGCGGGGTGGCCCGGTCGGTGGGTGGCAGCCCGGCGGGGCTGCCGGCGGTCCCGGCCCCGGCCCCGGCCCCGGCCCCGGCCCCGTCCGCGTCCGCGTCCGCGTCCCCAGCCGGGTGCCCGCCGCGCAGGAACCCCGGGAGCCGTGGCGACAGGTCATGCTCATAGCGCTGGCGATACATGGACCCGGTGCGCGCGGCCCAGGCCGCCAGGAAGCGCACATACCGCAGACGGCCTCCACTGACCAGGATGTCGGCCGACGGGGCTGTCGAGAGGACCCCGAGGCGGATCAGCTGGCTGAGCAGGGCCCGCAGCAAGATGCGCCCCAGGTCCACCGGCACCTGCTGCAGCCGTAGGAGGAAGAGCCACTGCGAGGAGGACCGGTGCAGGCAGCCCTGCCACCAGTCCAGCAGATCGCCGCTGCGACCGCCGCGCGCGGCCAACGCCCGCCCGGCCGACCCGGCGATGGCCACCGCGCACTTGGCCAGGATGAATGCCTGCAGGGCCTCCTCCAAGCGGCCGGCATCCACATCGGGGTCCGTCTCGTCCGGCGAGTCGGCCAGCAGGATGTCCTGCGGGCCGGCCGGGCCGCCGGCGGCCGCGGCCCCGCTGGTCCCGGCGTCATCCGGCCCGCCGCCGGCCGCGGCCGAGTCATCCGGGGCCGAGGCCGAGGCCGTGCGCGAGGCCGGGCCCCCGGCCCCCGGCCCGGCGTGCGCCTGCAACAGCCGCCGCCCGGTCAGCGACCGCTTGAGCCCCGGGCGCGTCAGCCAGTCGATCAGATCCGACGCCGGGTGCCCGAGGACCCCGGGCCCCGGGCGAGCGGCGCCCAGCCCGGAGGACAGGGAAGACCGCCGGGTGCCCGGGTGCGTGGGGGCCGGTGTCGCCGGCCCGGTGGCCAGGTCCGGCTCCTCGAGGCCGTCGGTGTCGGCCTCAGGGGATCGCGCGGCGAGGGCCGCCTCGGCCGCCTGCTCGCGCTGCCGGCGGATGATCTCCTGCAGCTCCAGCCACAGGGCCGCCACGTCCTGGATCTCCTGGACATGGCTGCTTGGGGAGAAGCTCCGGTCCAGGCCGCCGCCGGCCGCATCCGACATGACCAGCCGGCTCAGCGACCGGGAGATGTCCTCCGCGCGTGGGCCGTATACCCGGTGGACCTGCCTCCACCAGGAGGCCGACACCCGGGCGTCAAGCGACCGGGACACCCGCCGGACCGTGCTGTCCATGTCGCCGACTCGGGGGAGGTGCGGGGGACTGGGGCAGGGGGGTGGGGGGAGCGTGCGTGCGTGCGTGCGTGCGTGCGTGCGTGCGTGCGTGTGTGTGTGTGTGTGTGCGGTGTATGCGGTGGCCCGCGTCCTTTGTCAGGAGGGGGGGACGGGAACGAGGGCAAAGGAGGGGAGTCAATCGGAGGCTGGGCTACCTCGACCCCTCGCGCGAGCTGCGCCGCGGCGCCCTTTTTTTCTCGGGTCCTGCCCAGGGGCCCTGGCGGGGATGGCGGCCGGGGCTGGGCGCGCTCACGGGGGGGGGCTGCGGTCTCTGCCCGCCCCCCCCCCCCCCCCCCCCCGCGCGACAGCCATCCGTCGCCGGCTATCTCCCAGGCCCCGGAGGGAAAGCGCGTCCTCGCGGCCACGGCCACATCCCGGGGCTGCGACCTGGGCGCCCCGCCCCAGGTCCGCGCAATCTAGACCCCAGTGTCCCCTGTGGTGTGCGCGGGCAGGCGCGCGTCCCGGGCCTGGCAATCCGCCCCCCCCGGGCCGCGCACGCCCCATCGCGGCCTAAACGTGTTCACCACCCCAGGGCAACGCGCGCCCCATACGGGCGGCTATCATGTGCCAACGAAGGGGTGTATTATCTCCGGCGCGCCGGCTAAAAGAGCACGGCCCCGCTGGAGCCGTGCTGGCCGGGGTCTGGTCCCCCAGCAGCGCCCAGCATCAGGTCCTCGGCGGGGCCGGGCCCAGGACCGTGGTGGTAGCGGTGGAGCTGGTCAGGCCCTGCGCCCGGGCCCTGGCGAACCGGAGTCAGTGGCCCCTCCGCCAGGGAGGGAGGGCCACCGGCCTCGTGCAGGGCGACCCCGGCCCCGGTGAAGGACCCGGCCAGGGGGAGGCCCAGTGCAGCCGGATCGGCCGGCGTGTCCAGCAAACCGTGCCGATGGAGGCGCTCTTCGAAGCTCGGCGAGCGCCCAAGCTGCAGGACACTGGCGGCCGGCGACCCGCCTGCCAGGGTGGCCCCGACATCCAGCGAGAAATCCGACCGGCGCTCCCCGGCGAAGGGGCTGGCACAGGAGGCCGCCACGCGTGCCGCGTCCAGGGCGGACTTGAGCGAGGCATTCTCCTGGTTTAGCCGGGTGATCTCCAGCGTCAAGGCCCGGACGATGGCCTGCGAGTCGGCCGCCGCCGTGGAGGAGGGCTGGGCATTTCCCCGGGCCGCGGGTTTGCATGTGTGTGTGTGTGTGTGTGTCCGTGCGCATGGACGTGTGAGTGGGCGCATGGCCGCCAGGATGGATACATGGGGGAGCCCACGCCGGGACGTACCGGGGTCGGCGTGGACGAGGCATAGCCGCCCATGCGCGAGATCATGCTCGATGGGGAGGAGAAGAAACTGCGCACGGCACCGGTGGCTGGCGCCGGTGGCGGCGGTGGCGAAAAGGGCCCGGCGCACGCCGCGCACAGGGCCCCGTTCCCGGGCGAGGGAGGTCGCTCGGCCGAGGCCGTGCGCAGGCGGATGATCTCCAGGGCGATGGGCCGCAGCCGGGGCGGCAAGGCGCGCAGGTCGCCCCGCAGGATGGCCTCCGATCGGGCGGCATACTCGTCCGGCTCGGCGGCCGGGAGGTCGCCATCCGGCGTGGCCGGGCGTTCGCCGGCCAGTGGAGACTCCGGCGAGCCGAGCCCCGAGCCCGGGTCCGGGCCGTCGGACACCGCCGGGCTGGAGGCCGCGGCTGTGTTGCTGCTGCTGCTGCTGCTGCCCCCGGCGGCGGACAGACTGGTCGACGCGTCGGCCGCCAAATTTTCCAGTGCCCGGACCAGGCCGACGATCGGCGACTCGGCTGCTGTGAAGGTGGCCCCGGCCCCGGTGGCGCCCATGCTCGGGGCCAGGGCCGCGGCCACGATCGATGACAGCGGCTCCGTGGACACCGGGTGGCTGGGGGAAGGTTGAGCGCCTGGCGTGCGCCCGGCGGTCCGCTGGGCCGGGAAGGCATCGGCATCGGCCGACGGCCCGAGCAAGCCAAAGCACAGTAGTGACATGGTAGACGCCAGGCGTGCGGCGTCCTGCTTGGCCCGTGTGCTGGCAGGCTGGGGGTCAGCGTGTGTGTGTGTGTGTGTGTGTGTGTGTGTGCGTGCATGGAGGAGAGGGGATCATGCGATGCCGAAGAAGGTCGACGAGAGGAGAAAGATTAGTGCCCGGAAATCAACAACCAGAGGGAAGATCGGGGGAGGGGGGGGGGGGGGGACGGGAGAGAGAGAGAGAGAGAGAGAGAGGGGTAGGGAGCAGGGGACTGCGGGCACCCATATCCGCGGGCATATGCATCTATACGTGTGTGCGTGTGCGTGTGTGCGCATGCCAGCATGGGCGTTCACGCACCGGCAGTGACACCAGCGGCCCGAGGGCCCGCTTTGCCTCGGTCAACATGGTGGACATCTTGGCGATGGCATCGGCCACGTCCCGGTCAAAGGCATCAGATGCCGCGGCCCCGGCGCCAAGGGGTGGCGGCCCCCCGGGGCGCAATAGCGCCGGCAGGGACCCAAGGTCCCCGGCGTCCGGGGCCTCGTCATCGTCGCTGTCGGCGATCGGCCCGAGAGCAAGCACATCGCCATGGTGATGGTCGGTATCCGAATCCGAAAGGACCGGGTCCAGGCCCAGCGACAGGGACTCCGGCGACTGGCCGGCAGCCGACGGGTCCTCCGGCGTGGCAGAGACGGGGGGCGGGACTGGCATGGCAACAGGCCGCGACCAGGCGGATGCGTGTGTGCGTGTGTGCGTGGGCGGGGGGGGGGGAGCGGGCGGAGGAGAGGGATGCGGGAGGGAGGCAGCGGGCAGGGGCAGGGAAGGAGAAAAACCTCTGTCCCCCCCCGGCGGCGGGAGGCGCCGGCCGGCCCCGAGCCGCCGAGCGAAAAAAGACCTGCTCCGG